AGGAGCTTCCCTGGAGAGCCGTGTAGGAACCTTGCAAACGGATTTGGGGATTCCATGGTCATCCACAACCTTCTGCAAACGAGGGTTCCTACTTTAAGTACTGATACTATTCCCTCCTTCAGATTTGGATTTGATTATTTACGATCCTTCTATCACTCGGGCTGGCGTGCTTCTTCCATTTGGACTTAGTTGATGCCTCACATACATAGATGGCTGCTTGTTAGAAAACAAGCCTTTAAGAGCCCAGATGCTATTCATTCCGATGGCCGGGCACCATCTGGTTTCTTCACAGCACGTTTGCTACAGTAGTCATATCTTCAGTAATTTCTTCATGAGGATGAGTATGGAGTAAGGTTACACCATAAGAACTAATTGTTCTTAGCTTGGGGCTAGAATTAAATGTGACTTGTAAGGGTCATATGTTAAACTGTGATCATATTTGAGAGCATTAGGAAGTAACAGTAAACATCCAATGTGCTTGAAACATTTTATCACATAGCCCCATTTTAAGAAACACTAAATCCGTGAGAAGGGTAATTCAAAATATGCATATGCACATTTTTAACTTAACACTCTTTTAAAACGGTTAACTAAAGTGATCTTTTAAAGTACATTAGCAAAACTACTAAATGGCTTCAAATTGAAACATGCATTCAACAAATATCTCCTGAGGGTTTAGTTTGTGCCATGCACTGAACGAGGCAATAAAAGTCCACTGCACAAGACATCTTGACAGTGCTAGTTGATGCACTTGAATTATGATGCTGGTGGAAAGTACTGAAACTACCAGATGAACAAACAAATTGGTGATGGAAGAAGTACGGCCAAAATGCTCCTTAAAGATGAGAATGGGGAGACTTTGCCCCACAGACTTTGGACGTATCAGAAGAGACTAGTCCTTGGAAAAGGCTACCATGCTTAACAGAGGGTCCGAGAAAAAGGGGACAACTCTCCCACATATAAACTGACACAACGGCTGCAACAATGGGCTCAAGCATAAGAATGGTTGTAAGGATGGTGCGGATGGGGCAGTGTTTAGTTCTGCAGTGTACAGGATCACTATGAATCAGAACCAACTTAACAGGACTTAGCAAAAACAAGTAGAACCGCTTTTCAAACCTACAATTCAGTGGGAATTGTGCATCCTATTGTCTGGGAAGTACCACGACCAGCAAATATAGAAAGTATTATGAATGCACAATTGGGGAGAACACTGAGTTAAACCCATTTCTGGACGGAAGACTGGGTGGTTCCCC